AAAATTTGTATACGAGTTTCTCTTTACAGATCATTTCTATCATCAAAAACAGAGCTAGGTTAGCTTATTTGGGGATAGAAATGAAGATTAATTAGATGGTCATTCTTTGTACAGGATATATGAGAATGCTCAGTGCCCTCTTTTGAGGTTTATAATTTGATTTACAGAACTGTTCTTAGCACTTTAGTATCAGGAAAACATGACTGATTTCTAGATGACGAGACAAAGAAACCAGGTCAGATATAACTCACTTGCACATTATTCACATTATTTCTGGGGTATGTAGATCAGGCATAGTGTACATATTTTTAAGTATATATCAAAATTATAATAGTACCATTTGGAAAAACCTTCAGAATAAAAAAAAGTCTGATGTAAATTTTATCAAATTATTAAACACTGTTAACAGGGATTATGATTCCTTTAAAGGTTTATAATAAATATTCCTTGTCCTTCCTCTTCAAATGCCTGTGTTTATATTATCGTTCATTAATCCAATAATTAGATTGCCATATGCTGACTTTGAATGAATATTGAAGCAGACAGATGAGAACAACATAGATTAGATATTTTGTTGATGGAGACGGTAATATTTATAGTATGTTATATGTGCGGCTAATAGTGAGTTGGTAGGAAGTAGGAATCTTTATAGCTTCTGATCCTTGTTCTGTGAAATGGTCTGTAAAACCCATGTGTTTGGAAAGGAGATTAGAGGTGATCTACTGTGGGTTACTAAAAATTAACATAAGAAATTTTTACTGGCGGTATTATTGAACATACATGTTAAGTTTGAACTATACCCTATTTTATACACTAGATATGTTGTAGAAAGTTTAAGTAATAAAATTAGGAATCTTTGTTATTTAATGCATTGGCAGATTGGGACTGCCTCTATTTTCTTGGGAATCTATAGGTTTCTTATAAGAATTAAAAACTGTGTGTGCTCATGTCAGCTATCATCAGAAAATATAATAGCATATTCTAAATCATCTAGTTGACCATCTTTTAAGCTGGTAATGCCAGGAGATTGCAGTGCCTCTATTTATGTTTGTTTGGTCATGTTGGCTCCAGGTAGTATTGTACTACTTTGTGAAGAGTTAGTTAAGAACTGAGGCATATCTAATGCATAAATGATGTATTCATGTCTAGTAGACCGCCAAATGATGCTACAGCCCACTACATGACATAAGTTTTGTGGTAGTTCACATTCTATTAGCTAACATTCTTTGAGCATCTTCTATGTTCTAGGCACTGTTCAAAGTACTCTTCATGTATAATAATGAAGCATAATTAATATAAGGATTTGTGTTTTAAATTCATACAGTAGACCTGTGAGGTATGTGTAATTACTATTCCTGTTTTACAGATGAAGGTACTGAAGTATAGAGAAGTTAATTTTCCTAAGGTTACACAGCTAATAAGTGGTAGAGTCGGTTTTCATACACGTTGTCTGACTCCATAGCTTCTAGCCACTGACTATACTGCCTTACAGTAGATCCCATCTGACGCAGTTATCTGGGCATTCCAAACTCAGAACAGGTAAATTGGCATTGTATTCGTGTTATCAATTGAGATTTTGTTTCAGCAAGCATCTTGTTTTCTGTCATGTTAATGTTGTTGATTGAATAATACTGGTCTTATGGTTGTATTTGGATTTAATTTGTAAGATTTTACTGTCATATGCATTGTTATAAACACTAAGAGTTTTGTCCTAGTTTATATATATTTCAATAACATCATAACAAAAATAACTTAATTTTTGTAACTCAGACATTACAGTAGAGATGCTGATGTAAGAATTGCTTTGAATCTTTTTTTGTTTGTTTGTTTTGCTTTTTTTTGCTTTTTTTGGCCATGCCATGTGGCTTGTGGGATCTTAGTTCCCTGACCAGGGATTGAACCCTGGGCCCTTGGCAGTGATCAAAGAAATCTTTTGTAATGCACATGAATACATATTGATTTTATTTATTATACAAATTCAGAGTTTCATGTAGAGTATTGGATTTTCTTGAAGTAAAACAGCATGAATTGAGGAAACTTTGAATTTGTTGTTTTGTGCATTTGGAGGTACTGCTCCCAACCCAAGTGACTCATATTACAGACGAACAATCCATAGGTATTAATATAGACAATACTTTGTAGGATTTTCCCCCACTGGTTCCCAGTTGGGGGCTATTCTCTAGTCACAGACAGGGAATGGTATCCTATAGAGTTCTTATAGAGCTCTCTAGAGTCTGTTACTATCAAAAACATAGAGGGTCTCTTATTCAGAGGAAAACTGAAGTAGTAAGAAGCAAAAAAAGAGTTGTCCCTGATTTTACCGAGAGTTATCTTGACTTAAATGAAATTATGATTTATTTTTATAACCAAAATGAAGACTATCGGGTTTCCCTGGTGGCGCAGTGGTTGGGAGTGCGCCTGCCGATGCAGGGGATGGGGGTTCGTGCCCCGGTCTGGGAGGATCCCACATGCAGCGGAGCGGCTGGGCCCGTGAGCCATGGCCACTGGGCCTGCGCATCAGGAGCCTGTGCTTCGCGGCGGGAGAGGTCACAGCGGTGAGAGGCCCTCGTAAAGCAAAAAAAAAAAAAAAAAAACTATCATAATTTTTCTCTTTATAAAATTTAAATCATCTTTTTAAAACCTTAATTTGGTAAGCTTTCCTTTTGCAAATTAATTCATTTTCATTGTGTACCAGAGATTCTACTTAGTGTGCTTTTTTCAGTGTGCTGAGAAACCCTTTTGAATTCAAGAACTATTTATTGAGCTCCTACTGCATACAAGCTACTCTGCTAGTCATTGGTGGTTTATTTGGTTACTGATAACTTCATTTGATTTTGGTAAACATGCCTATCATACTTCAGAAGTTGAAAAACTTCATTTAGATGTTTGAGTCTCTGGTATTACCTGCTTCCATGATAGCTTTATTTCCTTAAGTATTCTCTGGCTGGATTTTTTTGTTCCTTTCTTCTTATGTTTTTCTATTTCTAGAGATTTACTCTGCTCTAAGCAATCTATTCATTTACCCTCTTAAAATATTCTGTGGAAGAACCATAACATAACTACTACTCGGCACTTGTTTTTTTTTTAATTTATGTATGTATGTATGTATGTATTGGCTGCGTTCGGTCTTCATTGCTGCCCACTGGCTTTCTCTAGTTCCGGAGAGCGGGGGCTACTCTTCATTGCGGTGCGTGGGCTTCTCAGAGCACAAGCTCAGTAGTTGTGGCACATGGGCCCAGTTGCTCCGTGGCATGTGGGATCTTTCTGGACCAGGGATTGAACCTGTGTCCCCTGCATTGGCAGGCAGATTCTTAACCACTGCGCCACCAGGGAAGCCCCCTACTCTGCACTTGTATAGGACTTTAATATAAAATTCCAGTCTGTGAACTGAAATAAAGACTTTCTGATGTTTGATAAGATCTGAGCTAACTTCTTTTTTTAAACTGGACGTTAGTGGTTCCTGAGACATCTGAAATAGTAAAGAAAGTAGTGAGCATATATACATTTTTTCTTAAAAGAAGTTCTAGATCTTTGTTTTATTCACTTAAGGCTTTTGTATATTATCAGACTGGTTAGGGCTAGTCATGGAACTGACAGGTTGGTCATTAATTTAAAGTAAATGGTAATTTCATTGGGGAAGAATATAATTTACTAGACTTGAATACAGAGTGGGTTACCTTGGAGGTTTATTTCTTCTTTTTTGGTTTTATATGCTTGAATGACTCTAGGCCGGTGGTTCTGGGGAGGGGTGATTTTTGTCCTCTAGGGGCATTTGGTAGTGTCTGGAGACATTTTTGGTTGGTTGCTGCTGGTATCTAGTGAATCTCTAGATACCAGGGGTAGTGCCAAAAATCCTAATATGCACAGAACAGCCCCCCACAACAAAGAATTATCTGGCCCCAAATGTCAGTTGTACTGAGGCTGAGGAATGCTGGAGGCCAATTTGGGAATCACCAGTGGTTGGTTAGATGGTATTTGAAGCTATGGGATAGGTAAAGTCACCTAAGCTTATGACCAGCTCTTCTGCTCTGGAGTTTATCCACTTAATTGATTCTACCATTTTGGTAGGTATGAAGAAGTACTTTTCATTCCTGTCCCAAAACCACTTATTAAGAGACCAAACCGCAACCATCTAAATTACCTAAATATGATTGTTAGTTAACTTACTGGTTTGGAAAAAACAATAAAACCTCTACTATCTTTATAGTCCTGAACTCTTTTAACAGAGGACTTTCCAGACCTCCACTGAAAAGTATTTGTATCCAAGGTGAAAAGAATTCTGGAGATTGTCTACACAACAGTGTAACTTTACTTAACACTATGAACTGTGCACTTAAAACTGGTTAAGGGCTTCCCTGGTGGCGCAGTGGTTGAGAGTCCGCCTGCCGATGCAGGGGACGCGGGTTCGTGCCCTGGTCCGGGAGGATCCCACATGCCACGGAGCGGCTAGGCCCGTGAGCCATGGCCGCTGAGCCTGCGCGTCCGGAGCCTGTGCTCCGAAATGGGAGAGGCCAAAAAGTGAGAGGCCCGGGTAAGGAAAAAAAAAAAAAAAAAAAACAAAACTTGTTAAGATAGTGAATTTTATGTTCAGGTATATGATACCACAATTTAAAAATATTTGTATCCAGCATTTTATATCTTCTTATGCAGTGTTCCATTGTATTCCTCTAGGACTGTTCTCAGTTTCTATCACTGTTTTTTTTTTTTTAGTCAAGAGATTTTATGATCTCTCAGGTGATTTTTCATTCTTTTCCAAATGCCCCTTAATTTTTAAAGTATACACATGAGCCCTCATCTTAAAGATGGGACAATACTGGGTTGATAAGAAAGTATAGTATTTGGGTTTTAGCTTATTAAAGTATTTCACTAAATTCTCAATTTAGGGAACCGTATGTAGTCATTGTCTGGATATTGAAAAAGAAGTAATTGTTTAGCTCAAAATGCTTTTACTGTAAAGATTACTCATGGTTCCATGTATGTCTTTTCTTTCTTTCTAATAGGCTTTTAAGGATATGCTGTACTCAGCTCAGGACCAGGCACCTTCTGTGGAAGGTAAGATGCATTAATCTCTACATTTAGCCACATAAAACTTTTTAAGAAAAGGTATTTTAAACTGAACAGTATAAAACTAATATAACCTGCCCTACTATATAAATCTTTTTTGTTTTTTATAATATATATTATGATTACTTTGTGTTTCAATGAAACTTTTTTTTTTGTTTAGCTCACATTTACTTTATGATGGATCTCTTATAATGTCCTCAAATCACCTTAGCATTGTGAATCATAGATATTGGTTTAGAGTTAAAGCTCTTATCTGTGTCATGCTCCCTCCCCCAAACAATGTATTTTTATATTTATCTCTATTGTCTATTCATCCATCCATCCATCATTCAGTAAATCCTTAGTTCATAATTAGTCTGGACAACACAGCTTTTTCTTTCCATTTATGTCATGTCTTTAGACTGGGACTAGTAAAACAACGAACCATATTTACTCTGTGTGTGTGTGTGTGTGTGTGTGTTTATAAGCATGTATATGTATGCCTGTGCACAGTTTGGCAGTCATAAAATGACTGACCTAAGGATAGTGGTTATCTTTCCAGTTATCTTTATTGATCCTCTGTTACCTCAGTTTCTACTCACCAGCTCATTCTTTATGGGTTTAACCTTTGATAGGTTTGGAGAGTTGTAAGTTAAAGTTGTAGTTCTTGTGTCAGTAAATAATTAGCTAATTCAACAACTATTTCTTGAGGGAGTGTTCCTTCTGAGGCTGGATAGTCTTTTAAAATTTTGCATCACATATTTTCAGGAGAGATGAATATGAAGTTGTTTATTAAAACTACAGACCTATAATTAAAAATCTCATTGTCTTTAATGACATAGAAGTGTATATCTTTCAGCTCTAACTGTTCTGAATTCAAAATATGCTTCCTTCAGCATCTCAAAATCTTTACTAGGGTATTGGCACCTGGGTATTACTTTTATAATATGTCACTAAATTTTGGATTATATTTAATATATTTAACATAGTTAATATAATTCTCTAATATTTAACTGAAGACAAATGTTTAGTTCTTTATTAGGTTATTATCTCTTATTTTATGTGTCTTAAAGAGTACCTCCTCAAAATATTTTAAGAATGTAAGAAAAATGAAATTACATGGAAGTTAAGCTGGTTTCCTCACCCTGTGTTACTTGCTTTAATATTGGTTCTTTTAATTTTATTCTCAAAGTTGGACTACTTATCCTTAATTTTTTTTTAAAGTTTTACCATCTGGTTTGTAACAAAGATATTCTGAGATATGTTGAAAGTTATGATCTTTATTCACCCCTCCATGCTGGATCATGTTGCTAGTAATTCTCATATACTTTTAGCTGTTATGGGAGAAAAACTGAATTCTGTCAAAGTATGCTAAAATGACAAATATTTATAGTTAATAACTTTTTCTTTATCTCATTGTCCAGAGACATTAACTTCTTTGGACCCTGTTATAAAGGGAGTACTCTAGGCTGATCATGCAGATATATGTGCTGCTTTCATAAGGGAACTATTCTGTACTTGTTCATTCTTTCCATTCTCAGATAAACAAACTAAACCCATGTAGTTTTTGTCTTCTTAAAATGAATTTTTCTCTTTAGAGACACTGGGGAATTGAAGGTATTGGAAGGTAGATTAAGGAAACATTCTATGTAGTACTGAGGTTAGAAAAAGTTATTTAAAGGGACTATAATTTTGTGTCTCATTTGCATTGTGATACTATATTAATTTACTCTTTTATATGGTGTTAAATTTAAATGATAATCATTTCTGTCATTCATTTATTCTTGCTATTGGGTTTGTATTTCTAGATTTTTATTTAGCAGTTATCTATAAAATAATGCAACGTCAGCAGATTTATCACAAAGTCCAAGATAGGACTTTCAACTTTTAACAATTTTTTTAAAAAATATAAATTTATTTATTTATTTATTTTTGGCTGCATTAGGTGTTCGTTGCTGCACACGGGCTTTCTCTAGTTGCGGCGAGCAGGGGCCACTCCTCGTTGCGGTGCGCGGGCCTCTCATTGCGGTGGCCTCTCCTGCCATGGAGCACAGGCTCTAGGTGCGTGGACTTCAGTAGTTGTGGCACGCGGGCTCAGTAGTTGTGGCGCATAGGCCCAGCTGCTCCGCAGCATGTGGGATCTTACCAGACCAGGGCTCGAACCCGTGTCCCCTGCATTGGCAGGCGGACTCACAACCACTGCGCCACCAGGGAAGTCCCAACTTTTAACATTTTTAAAGGAAAAAAATGTTTGATTGGCCTTGATTAGTTTTTTGAATATTGTCTTTCTCTCTTTTCTTCATTCTCCTCTTTTTCTATACCTTAAGTTTTAGTAGACTTAAGACTTTTGGTGCCAGTAAGCAAGTTTTTTGTTTTAATCTTAAAACTGGAGTATACCATAAATTGGTGATTTTCAAATCTGCTACACAATTAACTCAGTTTTCTTGTGTTTTGTTTGTATGTTTGTTTTACAAATACTGATACTTAGTACCCTTCTCAGGCCAATTAAAATAGGATATGGGGAGTGGAGCCCAGGCATTGATAGTTTTATAGTCTTTCTAGGTGATTCTAATAAAATAGCCAAAGTTGAGAACCCTTGCCATAAATAATCTTTTTTAAAAAAATAAATTTTATTTATTTATTTATTTATGGCTGCATTGGGTCTTTTGTTGCTGCATGCGGGCTTTCTCTAGTTGCGGCGAGCAGGGGCCACTCTTCGTTGCGGTTCGCGGGCTTCTCATTGCGGTGGCTTCTCTTGTTGCAGAGCACGGCTCTAGGTGCACGGGCTTCAGTCATTGTGTCACAGGGGCTCAGTAGTTGTGGCTTGTGGGCTCTAGAGTGCAGGCTCAGTAGTTGTTGCACACGGGCTTAGTTGCTCCGTGGCATGTGGGATCTTCCCGGACCAGGGCTTGGACCTGTGTCCTCTGTGTTGGCAGGTGGATTCTTAACCACTGCGCTACTAGGGAAGTCCTCAGCCATAATTAATCTTAAAGAATTTTAGACCAGTATTGTTAATGCTAAATTTTTTCAGGCAATAACTAGCCAGTAGGTTTATAGGCTTCTTAAGTTCATCTATAGTCTGATTATTCTATTAGCATTTATAGGATGTTTATTTTTTAAATGTTTATTGCATTGAATTGAATATAAGTAATAGCTGTACTGATTGTTTACATATATTAAATCGTTATAACTTAACATTGTTATTAGAATTAAAAAACATTTTTGTTGAATTATTACTTAAGATTAGTTATAGTAAAATAAGTAGCTTCATATTTTCACAGTACTTTTGTTTAAGATCGAGTGGATTTCTGATTATAGTGAAAGAAAGGTAACTTGAAATGGATTCTTAAAGAGTGAAGTGGTTTATTTGATAAAAGTAAATTAGATAAAAGGCACAGTATATGAAAGTTTTTGTTGATTAGAAGTTGACTACTATTTTTTACACTAGTGGATTATTTTCTTCTAATTTCAGGATAGTGCCTTTATTCTTCATAGATAAAGTGGTGCTTTTTTTCCCATTTAAAAGTAAACCAGGGCTTCCCTGGTGGCACAGTGGTTGAGTCCGCCTGCCGATGCAGGGGACACGGGTTCGTGCCCCGGTCCGGGAAGATCCCACATGCCACAGAGCGGCTGGGCCCGTGAGCCATGGCTGCTGAGCCTGCGCGTCCGGAGCCTGTGCTCCGCAACGGGAGAGGCCACAACAGTGAGAGGCCTGCGTACCGCAAAAAAAAAAAAAAAAAAGTAAACCAACCAAACAAAATAATTTCAGTGTATTAAGATATCAAGGAGCATTTACTTAAAGTTGCTTTTATTATTCAAGTAAATAAACATTCAGATTCTTGGTTATTTTGCTTGGTTATTTTGCTTCATTCGTCCTTTGAGAGTGAATTTCATGAATCATTCATACATTGATTCATGAAAAATAAAGGGTCTCTACTTTTATTTAAAATAAATGTCTTATGGTTATAACTAGGAAATGCTCATATTCTGAAGTGATATATTTAAAGTGCTAACAGGCATTCCTTATCAATTTATATCTAATCTCCTTTGATATATATCATTACCTACGCTTCTGTGTAATCTTTGTTATTTTCGGTAGGCATTTACATTTAGAAATATGACTAAGAAGGCGAATTAAAATTCTATGTTAAAACTAACACAATGCATTGATTTTTAAATAATGGCATAGATAATTAAGAATTTTACTATTTATTTTATCTTTTTCTGCAGAAAGAATTGCAGGGCATATGTGACAGTAGCATAAGGGTATTAAAGTGACTAAAATAGTGGATATATATTTTTTTATGTGGAGGAGCGGGCACACTTAGGACCCTTAGAGTCAGTGTTTAATGAAATAATGTTTTGAGGAATTTTTGGAAATAGATGCTAAAAACCTTTCAACTATATTGTGCTTTTATAGTTCCTACTGTCAATGTGGTATTTGGTATTTGGGTATTTGGGGCAGATTAAATTAAGCTGCCAACTGAAAGTCCCAGCATCAGTGAATCAGTCACATCTTGATAATCAGAATTGTTTCGAGGCAAGACAATTTATTATAGATATGACAACAGAACTCCTAATTGTGGTACCCATTTGACGTAGTCAAATTCTGTCAAATTTACTTAGGTAAATATTAACACCTGTTTTTGGGGAAACTTCCTCCTTCCTCAGGATATTTTTGATACATATGATTTTCATATATATATATAATATATAAACTTATACACTTCATATAATTTATACACTAAATTTATTTTAGTTTGTACTCTGAATTATTTTCAAGTAAAGCTTAAAACTTTATTTTGCCATCTTCTTTTTAAAATGTAGTATCTTTTGTTTAGAAGCATTAATGTTTTCCACTCTTGTGATACAAAACTATGAGAATCTGACAGTCAGCCTAGGTCACAGAATTAAGAAATCGACACTTCTAATTGAAAGAGACGTTAAAAGATCATTTTGCTTCACCCTCATCTTAGATTTGTACAATCAGAGACCATGTTAAGGTTGCA